TGACGCCGGACGCCGGACGGACGGACGACGGACGCCGCACCACGGCATAAGCTCACTTGCACTTCGTGCCAGGTGAACTAAAAACTACAACATAACTAACACTCACTCACTGCTTTTAACCTGTTTTTATCCTATAGCAAAGAATTAAAATAAAATATCACTGTACATAATTAACGCACAATAGCACAACAACCCTACTTTCGTAATCGTCGGTATCGACGGATGAAGTAATTCAGATGAAGATAAAGATATAGTCATAGATGGCGTATGTATAGATAGTGCAGTTCCACGTTAAGCAAATTTCGTAGTATGCGCGATCCCCTAGACACTTGCGTTACCTAACACATGTGTCAACAAGAGGCCCAATGGGCCTGAATCGCTCACCTGGTATTAATCTCACACTTGTAATCTTAAAAGTGGACTAAAATACAGCTACAGTCGGAATATCAGTGTTTGATTCATAAGAATTTATTAAAAGATTTAAACATACGACTCCTGTGACCTTGAATGTCGAACAAGGACATTAGGTTGAACAGAGTTTAAAGTCTTCCAACCCAGCATGCTTTTGGCAAAATATCATAACCCTGGACCTTTTGGTTATACAGAACAAGTCATTTAAAGATTTAAACATATTTGACCCCTGTGACCTTGAATATGGGCGAAGGTCATTCATTTTGACAAAATTGGTAGCCCTTTATCCCAGCATGCTACTGGCACAATATCATTATCCTAGGCCTCTTGGTTATTCAGTAGAAGTTGTATACAAGTTTTAAACATATTTGACCCCTGTGACCTTGAAAATGGACGAAGGCTATTCATTTGAACAAACTTGGTAGCCCTTAATCCTAGCATGCTACTGGCCAAATATCATTATCCTAGGGTCTTAGTTATTCAAAAGAAGTTGTTTAAAGGTTTTTTTAACATATTTGACCCCTGTGACCTTGAAAATAGGTGAAGTTCATTTATTTGAACAAACTTGGTAGCCCTTCATCCTAGTTTGCTTCTGGCCAAATAACATCACCCTAGGCCTTTTGGTTATTAAGAAGCAGTTGTTTAAAGTAAAATATTGACGCCAGACGCCGGACGGATGGTCGACGGACGCTGCACCATGGCATAAGCTCACTTGGCCCTTCGGGCCAGGTGAGCTTAAAACCAGTGAACCAAGTGTGTGAGCCAACATTTTTACCCATGTTGTAAATATGTTTGAATCATGTGTTATAGAAATGTTGAATCTGTCAGCTAAATCTTGAAGTGATAAACCAAGTCTTAACTTCATAAGTGTCAGTATGAGTTCCTGTTTCTTTTTTAATTTTCTGCATTTTGGATTGAAGTACTTGTGTTTTAATGGGTTGCAGATTCTTTGTGGCCCTTTCCCATATTTGCTGTTGTCCGTCTTGTCTTGAATAATTTCAAAAATGGTATTAAATGCTGCAACTGATGGAATACCTGTATAAAACTTACATTTCTTATCATTCAATAAAACATTTTTGATGGAAAATTGTTGATTTGTTGTTTTTTCACTTTTGAGATTTTCTGCAGTAAAGAGTTTTGTAGTACACAACCTCATTTTCCTGTTTCCTTATTTTTTCCTTTAACATTTGATTTTCTTTATCTAGTTGCTTTTCACGAATGTTAGATTGTTCACAGAATTTGGAATAATCGTGATCAGTTCCAGAATTACAAGTTTTGGGGATAGATTTGTGCTTCTTCACAGCTGGAGGGGTGAGGATCCTATGATGAAGGGCAGGACGCACTGGTTTGGTACTTCCACAGGGTATGTACCCTAGCTCTAGGGTGGGGTATGGGTGCTCTTGGGAAGGCTCTTTGTCTACAAAGTGAATAGAACAAATTCTGGACTCCCAGTTTTTAGCTCCAACCTTTCTGTTTACCAAAGATGTCCATTTCTGCCTCCCAATTGGATCTGCATTCTCTGTTGGGAATGGCAGAAGTTTTAATGGTGGCTCACATATGCATGAAGCAGTTCCAACATTACAGTTGTGTATATACATATCTGTCCCATCCACTTTTCAATTTGGTACAAACTGTTGGATCAGGACAGTATAGCACAACTTCTTCTCGATACTTTTGGCATGCTTAACAAAAGGAACACAGTTGCCAACCTTGCAAATAATGTAAATACAACCGAATTCATAACACCTTCATACTACCAGATATCCAATAATCAAATCTGAAATATGTGAGCAAAAACACTTACCGGTAACAGAATAGGTATTTAATATGGAAGTCTCTATATATGTCAACATAGATGACATCAGAGAAACCAGATGCCACAAATACCACCATGTAATGTAAATGATGGGAGACAATTCCATCAAGATTTTTTTGAATACATCAGATCTCAGGACTAGGGTCTACTGACTAATTATATATTAAAATAAAATCCTTCCAAATTTTTTCATACACTAATGAACATGAATTATTAACTAATGAAACAAAAACTTGAATGGAATAAATGTTTTTGTAAATTTATGTTCGAATGTGAAGGAAAAGAATTGTAGGGATCCTCCAAGCGCTGCAACTATATATAAACACTACAAGAAGAAATTGTGATCATAGAGCTATGAATGCAATTGCATTTGTGTTATTATGGCTGTGCCCCATCACAAATCGTGTGATTATGGTGGGAAGCAAACATTTTGGTGGCATTAGACTGTTCCAGGAACATGGATGCATCAAACAGTTTGACTCTGCATAAAATCTAAAAAGTAAAATGCTTGGATGATGGGAGTTCATTTGATTATAATTATAGTACTTTTATAATAATAATCTGTTAACCTATCATATAATAATATTTATTATAATCTACATCTTTCTGAATCCACAACACTTATACTACTAGGCCTAGAATATTAATGTACATATTGACTTTAGAATTAATGTGAATATTAACCACGCTCCCCTCAAATACTAAACTATTTTATTTCCCGATTCATTACCAATACAAGTTCCACTACAAATGTATGCAATTAATCTACAGTAAATACACATTTATATTAACTGTTTCATTTTATTTGTTATGTACCAGCTGTTGTGAGATGCTCATAGGTGGTTTTCCAAGTTATAACCAGTGCAAAAACAACTTTCCAAAGAGTGCTGTGCATCCAACATTGCGTGTCCGATAATACCCCTAGACAGGCCCCAATGAAGATAATTTGCTACAACAATACTGATGACGTTATTTATGACACAATTAAGACTGTTACATGCCATTAGCACAAGTTTGACAATGGCATATGAACGATTTTTTGTTATCGTTGAGAAACGATGAGGTAACTTAATATTTGCCAAACGGAAAGTGGAAATGTAATGACAACACCGTCGTTTTTGATGATAATTTACCTGATTGCAAAGGATGCTTTAAAAGTTTTCCTATATCGGCGGGAAAAGGTCAAAGCTAGAGGTATACCAGAACAGTTTTTAGGATGATGTATCGGAGAAAGGAAAAATAATAAATTTGATTGGCATGTCCGATAAAAGGCCATGTCCTATAAATAGCCCGATCCATCATTAACTGGGGAGAGCTGACACACCCATCTCTCTGAAACCCTCAAACAAATTGCCAGATCGCTACTTTTGTAGTATGTAAAAACCAAACATTGAAGATTTTCCAAAATATAAGATGTACCTGATTTCGTACTCGATGTTCCTATGATTTTTCACAGTGGATATATCGTTTAAAATTAAGAAAACGTGACTGTATCTAAGGACTCTTAATGTAAAAATATGAATCTAAACTGTCATACGTTGGTAAAGTTATTTAAGTCATTTAAAGATTTAAACATATTTGACCCCTGTGACCTAGAATATGGGCGAAGGTCATTCATTTTGACAAAGNTAATGTTATGATTTATTTTGAACTGGGTCGATTCCCTATTATATAAACGCGGCTTTATAATATGATTAAATATTGGTTCAAGTTATTGAATGCCAAGAACTGTTTCTTGAAAACTGCCTATGATAAATCATTGAAAATGCCCAAGCGCAATTATGTTTTTAATTGGTTGTCCTTCGTGAAGGATACACTTTTTTCACTCGGGTTTGTTGATGTGTGGTTAAATCAAAATTTTCGTAATATGTCTGAGGTTTTACCACTTATTAAACAACGAATTTTTGATCATGCTAGACAAGAACTTTCTGAAATGTTAGAGAATTCACCAAAATGTCACTTGTATAGACATTTAGTAAATACTATATCATTACAACATTATCTATGTAAATATATACCCAAGAAACATAGAATTGCACTTACAAAGATACGTTTGTCTGCACATACATTGCATATTGAAACAGGACGATATAGAAATATTGTAAGGAATGAACGCTATTGTAAAATATGTAATTCTGTAGATATAGAGGACGAATATCATTTTTTGCTTATTTGTACTATATACCAAGAGCTCAGATCAAAGTGTATAAAAATGTATTACTGGAGAAAACCATCTGTTTTTAAGTTAATACAATTATTGTGCTCAACAAATGTAAAAGAAATAGCAAATATATATATATGATGCCACTAAATTGAGGAAGACTATGATATAATGACATTTAAATGTGTCAAATTCTTTGTCCATACTCCACTGCGTTTTGCAGTGTCAGCCAATGTATTTATATTGTTACATGTACACTGATGAGCTGGAAAGCTTAAAGTTAATAAAGAATAGAATTGGCTGCCATACAAGTTTTTGCAAGCGCAAAAGCGTTTTTTCCCCCATGACCTTTGACATATCACTTTGAGGCCGCTTAAGAAATTACATGTTGATACGTCTATTGATACCAAAAGTATCTGGTGGCCATGTTTGTTTACCTAGGACACCTGGAGCTGTATTCCTACACTGACCGAATCACTGTAAATTGCAGTTTACAGTCTCATATACTGGAATTTGGTTTACTAACAACATATAGGCAAATGCAACACAGAATGTAAATATAGGCCTTAACTTTACATCCACACATGGGCAATAACAGACATACAGCATTCATACAATGCAACCTATTTTAATATGCAAATTTAAATGTATATATAAATATATATAAAACAAGAGTTCCGGGAAGCGGTACATAATACGCCCGTCAGATGTCAAATGAGCAGTTTGCCACAAAGGGCCATAAGTGCATAAAATATTGCACAGAAATTGTGTTCTACAAATTCTACAAAAGGCTGTAAGTCCTTTAGTTATAGCTGAAGTTTGAAATGAATCCATTCAAAAGTTATTGAGCTGAAAGTATTTCGTCAATTCTATAAAGGGCCATAACTCCCTTAATAACAGGCGGATAATGGTTATCAAACTTGTGCAAGCTTTCATAGAAAAGAACCTTCCTATGAAGTTTGAAATGAATCCATTGAAAAGTACTGAAGCTAGTGAGCGCAAACTGTTTCGGCAGTTCTATAAAGGGCCATAACTCCGTAAATTACTGGCAACTAATTTTGGTTATCGAACTTTGGTTGAGTCGAAACATGTAAACAACAGTCTTCATTAAATCTTTTTTTTCTCTATAAGCAGCTAGTTTTTTAGTCGGTCGTTAAATCTTAATTTTTTCTATATATATAAACATATGATGTATTATTCTCAATCTGATGTATGTTGTCTTAAATATATAATTAGCTATGGGAATGTGATGATCATGAGACAGGGGTATATATTTTGAAATTTGTAATCCTGGTTGTCTTGATTGTCACATCCATGTAAATTAATTCTGGAATTTCCTTATTGCTGGAACAGGCTATTTAATTGTCAATCTGTAATCACTTTACATTGAGTCATTGAGTCCAGACATAGTCACTGAGATGTTTGTCAGTAATAGGGGACCCAGTTGCTCCCATCTTCTGGTAAAAGTATTCCATTGACCAAGAGTATGATGTCAACAATCCACCAGATACCAACACCACCTAGTGTCAGAAGTTTCCCAACAGCTGTACCTACATTACAAAAGGAAATAATAATTAGTAGTCAGTATACAGTTGTATAAATGGTCTGTTGTGAATGACCATGCATTTCAGCCAATTTTGACTATTGTGGTATATATATAGGTAGCAGTATACAGTAGATGGTTGTGGCCATGGGTGATATTTTTGTTAAATGGCTAACCCCTGTATAATGATATGTAAAAAAAATATAAAAATAAAACTGTACTAAAATTGGTATAAGCATGATGAAGTGGGCTATGTGAGCTTCACATTTGTAAAAAAGAAAGAAGATTTCTTTGGTTCGAGAATAAAATTTTGGCCATAATACGAAAGGGTGCGTACACATGAAAAGCTAGCTTTACAGGAGGTAAAATTTTGACAACAGCACACGACGCAAAATTGCAAAAAATCAAGTTTTACAACTTTACTGGGACCCAGATAATTCTGCAACCAGGTAGGTAATCTTTAATTTCAGACAGAGCTTAGGAAAAAAATTACTAGTTGCGGGGGTCAAATTTTGGGTTAAAAATAGCATTTTTTGGCATTTTTTGGTAATTTTTGATGTGGTAACCATGGTTTTCACACAAGTGACATACATAGAAAAAAGAGGTTTATACACTTCTCAGTACTTTATATGTATTGTAAATGTAATGCAGTTTACAAATATATATACATGTATACATGTGTTGTGTAGGGTAAATCCGCTGTGTTTACATTTCCTCGACATGTGCCTTGTTTATCAGAGTCAGGCCATTTCTACTGTACACTGCTACCATAATACTCACATTTTGCTAAGGATAACTTTTATTTTTGGGCATATGTGAAAATAAACATTTTATTTGGTTTATACTGAGATTATTTTTGAAAAATTAATTGTTCTGTTAATTCACCAGCATGCGAAAATTCAAAAAATCGTAATTACAGTCAGAAAATGAGCCACAGGAAAAGGGTTACCCTTAAAATTGGTAACAACGAGGTATATTCACTAAAAAACTTTAATTGAACAAGACTCATCCTAAATAAACAGAAATTGTCTGCACATGCCCCGAATGAGATCGTGTATCCGGTTTTGTGGGATAGTGTTCCACTCAGCTACCAAAGCTGTTCCCAGCTCCTGGAGCGTTCTTGGCTGAACATTTCTGGCAGAGAGAGCTGTCCGCAGCATGTCCCACATGCTCGATTGGTTTTTGATCCGGCGAGCGGGCTGGCCAATCCATTCCTTGAATAGTCTCTTGCTGTAGATACTGTTCAGTCACCCTTGCTCTATGTGGCTTAGGTGATTATCATCCATAAGGATGACATCAGGGCCAATAGAGCCAGCGAAGGGTCTGACATAGGCATCAAGGATTTCATCACAGTAAATCCAGGCCGTAACGGTACCATTATGGAAGACATGGAGGTCTGTTTTTCCAAGAAGGTTTATGCCTTCCCACACCATCTCTGAACCTTCGCCCTATCAGTCATGTTCCACAATGTAACCTGCCTGGAACCTAACCCAAGGTTGTCTCTATACTCTAACATGCCTGTCGGTGAAGTCGAGACAGAATGTGGACACGTCAGTAAAAAGAACCGGTTCCCATTCCTGAAGAGTCCAAGTGCAGTGAGCTTGGGCCCAATCTAATCGGTCCGTAACATGTGGCAGGCAGTTAAGTGACCTTAAACCAGCATCATGAAGACAATTCCTAACTGTCTGAGTGGCTACCCGGGTACCAGAAGCATTTAAGAGCTTATTTCGTAAAACTATGGCAGTCTTGAACCTGTGACGTTGTGTCTGTATGAGCAAAAATCGGTCTTGATGCTGCGTTGTAGAACGACCTCCAGCATGATGTCTGGAAGGGTTTCCGTTAGTTTGGAAACGATTCCACATTCTTGCCACCACACTTTGAGACACCCCAAGGTCTGCTGCAACCTGACGTTGAGACATGCTGGCTTACAGCATTCCGATGCCCCTATTAATTTCACAGTCATTTAACCGTTGTCTGGTTCCTGTTTGTGCCATATTAGGCATATAAAAACAAAAATGTGCAAAAAATATTCATCAAATTGATTTCCTTAACAATTTGAACAACGCCTTACTTAGCCTAGCTGGTAGCTTTTGAAAGGGGTACACACGTGGAAGAGCGTGCACACACTTTTATGGTTGACTGAATACACCTACACAGGACAATTTGGAAGGCTAACATAGTATGGAAGGAAAATATAATATCCTTTCTAACATTTTGATTTTTTTTCCTCCAAAATATAGGTGACCCTTAGTAAAATGTGAGCAGTATACATATATATATATATTGTACATGTTTTTTGTTCAGCCAGCAATTCTATTCCCCAAATGCGTATATTTACTATTTGTGTTGATTACTTGTATTGTTCTATTACATCATTAATGTCGTTGTATAGACATGATCAATGACGTCACAAGAACCTATTAAAAGATATAAACATACGACGCCTGTGACCTTAAATGTCGAACAAGGACATTATGTTGAACAGAGTTCATTGTCTTCCAACCCAGCATGCTTTTGACAAAATATCATTACCATGGACCTTTTGGTCATTTAAAGATTTAAATATCTTTTGTCCCCTGTGACCTTGAATATGGGTGAAGGTCAATCACTTCGTAGTCCTTCATCCCAGCAAGTTCATGGCCAAAAATCGATCATCACCCTTGACCTTTTGCATATTAAGAAGAAGTCGTTTAAAGGTTTTTAACATATCTGACCCCTTTGACCTTGACTATATGTAAAAGTCATGCATTTGAACAAACTTGGTAATCCTTCATCTGAGCATGTTACTGGCCAAATATCAGTATCCTAGGTCTTTATTTATTGAGAAGAAGTTGTTTAAAGGTTTAAAACATATTTGACCTGTGACCTTGAAAATGGATGAAGGTCACTCATCTGAACAAACTTCGTAGTCCTACATCCTAGCATGCTACTGACAAAATATAAACATCCTAGGCCTTTTGGTTATTGAGAAGTTGTTTAAATGTTTTAAATATATTTGACCCCTGTGACCTTGAAAAGGGGTAAAAGTCATTCATTTGAACAAACTTGGTAGCTCTTCATCCCAGCATGCTACTGACAAAATATCACCATCCTAGGCTTGTTGGTTATTGAGAAGTTGTTTAAAGGTTGTAAACATTTTTGACCCCTGTGACCTTGAATATATGTCAAGGTTATTGGTTTGAACAAACTTGGTAACCCTTCATCTGAGCATGTTACTGGCCAAATATCAGTATCCTAGGCATCTAGGTTATTCAGGAGAAGTTGTTTAAAGGTTTTAACATATTTGACCCATATGACCCTGAATATATGTCAAGGTCATTCGTTTGAACAAACTTAGTAACACTTCAGCTGAGCATGTTACTGGCCAAATATCAAAATCCTTGGCCTTTTAGTTATTGAGAAGATTGTTTAAATGTTTTAAACATATTTGACTCCTGTGTGACCTTGGAAATGGATGAAGATCACTCATTTGAACAAACTTGGTAGCCCTTCATCCCAGCATGCTACTGACAAAATATAAACATCCTAGGCCTTTTGGTTTTTGAGGAGAAGTAATTTAAAGATGTTAAATATATTTGATCCCTGTGACCTTGAATATGCGTGAAGGTCACACATTTGAACAATCTTTGTTGCCCTTTATTTCAGCATGCTACTCGCCAAATATCATTATCCTATGCCTTTTGGTTATTGAGAAGATGTTTTTTAAAGGTTTTAAACATAATTGACCCCTTTGAGCCTGAAAATGGTGAAGGTTATTCATTTGAATAAACTTGGTGGCCCTTCATCCCAGCATGCTATTGTCCAAATAGCAATACCCTAGGCCTCTTGATTATATAGAAGTTTTTTTAAAGTTTAACATATTTGACCCCCCCCCNNNNCCTGTGACCTTGAATATGGGCGAAGATCATTCATTTGAACAAACTTGGTAGTGCTTCATCCCAGCATGCTACTGGCCAAATATCATCAGTCTGGGCCTCTTAGTTATTCAGAAGACATTATTAAAACTAAAAGGTTGACGCTGGACGGACGATGGACGCCGCACCGTGACATAAGCTCACTTGGCCTTTCGGCCTTACGTTACATTGCCTTTCACTCCCATAAATATATCACTTAAAATTCATAAACTTAACTTCAGCAAAATAGAAGTTATCTGGAAAATTAATTTGACCTTTGACATATAATGATTGTATACGTATTGTACCTTGAGTTTGAATGTAGAGACCAAATTGTAGTATGGGACACATTGCCTGTCCATCCTTCATAAAACATACCTAAAGAAATTTATTCAGATATTTCCAATGAGTCAAATATTATGGCCTGGACAATTAATTTGATCTTTGACCTCAATGTCACCTTGACCTTAGACAAACAAACCCAATAATTGTACGCAATACACCACCTTCAGCTGTAAAAAGTAATGTCCTAGACAATATATTAGGTCTTTGATATGACTGTGACCTTGACCTTGGCATGCAAACCACCTTGCCATCCTGCATATATTCCTAAAATTTCATTGAGTAAAAGTTATCTTTAGTGAGTCAGAAGTTATGGGTCAGACAAAGAATTGACCAATTTGACCTCAACTGCAAGGAGATCTTGACCTAGGGCGCAGGGACCAAATAGTGGTATATAACACATTGCCTTGCCATCCTACATAAATCACAAAAATAATCATTCAGCTATCTTCAGTAAGTATAAAGTTATGGCCCCAGACAGTCAGAGCAGTGACTGTATGCTCTCCATTCTTTTAGGGAGCATAACAAATACTTGTGATATGACTTCACCATAATATCAACATGTACACAATTTTGTCATGTATCAGCTTGCATGTACAGTTGTGTGACAGCACAATGCACCAAAAATAGCGTGCGCACACCATGCATACATCGTTCACACACCGTCCACACAAAGTGCGCACGACTGTGCGATTTAACAATTGTTCGCCCCATTATGCGCTTTTCTCTGCACAATTTGTAGATCAATATTACGAAATGAAAAAAATACTGTAATTTCTCATCACAACAGTTAAGATTTTGTATAATTTTACTATGTGTGTTACAGCATTACAGTGACTGTTAAACCTTAAAGAATGGGTTTTTCTCCAAGGTAACAGAACAGTTAAATAACAGTTTGATGAGTGATTGGAGTTTTACCTGGCCTGTGCTTGACACATAGAGCTGATATGTGTTACCGTATGACCATTATGAAAACACAACTGGACGTTTAGTATTTGTTATTTGCATTTGGTTTGTCCATAGCTTCCCTTCACATGGGTTTTCACACCCCACGACCGTACCCAACGAGCTATGTAAGTTCCCCGGGCGGGGGAAAACTACAGTTCAGGTACACCTGTATACGGGACTGTGTTGTAATTTTACATGCGTCGATTAAGGTCGATTAAAAATCACTGAAAACACAATTTTTAAATTTAAGAAAGTTCAGACAGAAAGATAAGCTTATAGATGTAGCTAGAATATAGAAACATACGTAAAAATCAAGTTTATGTGTTTAAAAATGAAACCGTATGTATTGTTAAGGCATTCCTCAATTTACACCAACCACGATTATTATTGCACAACGTTCGTCCATCGTACGCACAAATGTGCGCAAGGAATGATCGTCTAAACTTGTATTGTTCGCACATCGGGCACACATCGGGCACACACCGTGCGCACACCACACATCATGTAACGTTGTGCGATCCCACAACTGTATGTATTTAATATTTTAAAACTGGTAAACTGGTGATGCATCCTTATTAACAAATACCCCATTGACTGGGATTTTAATTTGGATTCAGCTTTACTCTGATTTGAGTTTGGATTTGGACTTATTGTTGTTTGAATCATTCAAACTTTTGTTTATTGACAATGCAACCTGTCCATTTTGTCTCAAGCCAGATTTAACAACAGTAGAGCCAACACCGTTACTTTAGTTCAGGTTCAGTTGGTTCCGTATATGCAGGGCGATTGAAACTAAGAATAGGTGGCAATCACAACAAGCTCGGGATCAGTTGAATTTTCATTATTAGGATACGTCTACCGGTTTTGCTTGAACAGAGGCCTGCAGGGCTTCTTCAGGGCGATTAAATGACAGAGTTTGTCCCGTGAAGTACTAAAATTTGGGGCACATTAATATAGTTGATTGTGATGTGAAACAATTAATGTCACATGATCATATCTATTTTTAACGTTCTGTACATTAACCATGTAACTATATATTCGCCTGCGATCTACTTATTTTATTCTTTAAGTACTTGCATACTCTTTACCCGAATAAGTGACCCGAGATGAGTTTGCCCGGGTAATCAGGAATCCTCTAGGTTTTCCGTCGGTGTTACACTGTAGCTTAATTTTCAACACACTGACATGACACTTAGCATAGAAAGAGTCAAACAGTCAATTAAAATGGCTTTATTACAGCATATTGAGCAAAATAAATAAGACTATGTATGTTATAATTATTCTGTGAATCATATTTTTATGATTACACCAAATAACATCTCTACAGAAATATCCTGCAATACAGTAAATATTAAATTGCATATACATCATTGAATTTATGACCTTTTATGTGACCTACCTGTTTGACCAATACGTATACAGTTTATATGACCTACCTGTGTGACCCAAACAGAATCTGTCCATCCCAAGAAATCCAAGAAGAACAGAGTAAATCAGTGTTGTCACAAAATAGTGCCCATTATACCTGGAAAAAATACACAGTAGCATTAATGCTGTTTTTCTTTTTTCCAGTCTGGATAAAGGTCACATGACTTCTGAAGATATGGTTAGAATATAAAAACATTGAATTGACGAAAGGACAGACATTTGTATAGAAAGAAGTGTACTTCAGAGCAAGTTCTCAATGAAAGATACATATCTTTTTGCTCCAAATGTACTGCAAATCTTCAGTTTCATAACAAGTGACCAGGGCCAGCTGTACTCCTAAAATTATTATCTTATTATTTGCTCAAGCTCAATTTCTAATTTAAGAGCCACCATATCAAATCTTACATTACTTTGTGTTTATACTTTTTTTTTACTCTTTTTCCTTTAACAAGATTTGAGTTAATTAAAGCCAAAACTAGAACTGTAAGCCAAAGGCTAATACATACCCCCCTCCTGTATAAACCAGAACTGTAACGTAAAGGCTAATACCCCCCATCCCCAACTCCTGTACAAACCAGAACTGTAAGGAATAGGCTGACACCCCACCCCCACCCCCAGCTCCTGTATAAACCAGAACTGTAAGGTAAAGGCTAATACCCCCCACCCCCAACTCCTGTATAAACCAGAACTGTAGGGTAAAGGCTAATACCCCACCCCCCCCCCCATCCTCCAGCTCCTGTATCAACCAGAACTGTACGGTAAAGGCTAATACCCCACACCCACCGGCAGACTCCTGTATAAACCAGAACTGTAGGGTAAAGGCTAATACCCCACCCCCCACCACCACCGCCAAACTCCTGTATAAACCAGAAATGTAAGGTAAAGGCTAATAACCCACACCCACCCACAACCCCACTCCTGTATAAACCAGAAGTGTAAGGTAAAGGCTAATACCCCCCACCCCCAACTCCTGTATAAACCAAAAACTGTAAGGTAAAGGCTAATTCCCCACCCCCACCCCCAGCTCCTGTGTAAACCAGAACTGTAAGGTAAAGCCTGATACCCCACCCCCATCCCCCAGTTCCTGTATCAACCAGAAATGTAAGGAAAAGGCTAATAGCCCACACCCCCCCACAACCCCACTCCTGTATAAACCAGATCTGTAAAGTAAAGGCTAATACCCCACACCCACCCACAACCCCACTCCTGTTTAACCCAGAACTGTAAGGTAAAGGCTAATAACCCACATCCACCCACAAACCCACTCCTGTATAAACCAGAAGTGTAAGGTAAAGGCTAATACCCCCCAAACTCCCGACACTCACCCCCACTCCCCAACTCCTGTATAATACCAAACCTGTAAGGTAAAGGCTAATATCCCAAACGCAGCCCCACCCCCAGCTCCTGTATAAACCAGAACTGTAGGGTAAAGGCTAATACCCCACCCCCACCCCCATCCTCCAGCTCCTGTATCAACCAGAAATGTAAGGTAAAGGCTAATAACCCACACCCACCCACAACCCCACTCCTGTATAAACCAGAACTGTAAGGTAAAGGCTAATACCCCCCAAACACCGGACACACACCCCCACTCCCCAACTCCTGTATAATACCAAAACTGTAAGGTAAAGGCTAATACCCCACTCCCACTCCTGTATAAACCAGAACTGTAAGGTAAAGGCTAATACCCCACCCCCACCCCCAGCTCCTGTGTAAACCAGAACTGTAAGGTAAAGGCTAATACCCCACACCCACCCACAAACCCACTCCTGTATAAACCAGAACTGTAAGGTAAAGGCTAATACCCCACCCCCCACCACCACCGCCAAACTCCTGTATAAACCAGAACTGTAAGGTAAAGGCTAATACCCAACCCCCAGCTCCTGTATCAACCAGAACTGTACGGTAAAGGCTAATACCCCACACCCACCCACAACCCCACTCCTGTTTAAACCAGAACTGTAAGGTAAAAGGCTAATACCCCACACCCACCCACCTCCAAACTCCTGTATAAACCAGAAGAGTAAGGTAAAGGCTAATACCCCCCAATACCCCCCAACACCCCTCCCCACCCCCAACTCCTGTATAAACCAGAACTGTAAGGTAAAGGCTTATCCCCCCCCCAACTCCAACTCCTGTATAAACCAGAACTGTAAGGTAAAGGCTAATACCCCACCCCAAACCACGCCCCAGCTCCTGTATAAACCATAACTGTAAGGTAAAGGCTAATACCCCACCCCAACCCACGCCCCAGCTCCTGTATAAACCATAACTGTAAGGTAAAGGCTAATACCCCACCCCAAACCACGCCCCAGCTCCTGTATAAACCATAACTGTAAGGTAAAGGCTAATACCCCACCCCAACCCACGCCCCAGCTCCTGTATAAACCATAACTGTAGGGTAAAGGCTAATACCCCACACCCAACCACCCCCCAACTCCTGTATAAACCAAAAACTGTAAGGTAAAGGCTAATACCCCAGGTTCCACCACCACACCGACCGCCCAGCTCTGTATAAACCAGAACTGTAAGGAAAAGGCTAATACCCCACCCCCACCCCCAACTCCTGTATAAACCAGAACTGTAAGGTAAAGGTTAATACCCCACCCCCACCCCCAACTCCTGTATAAATCAGAACTGTAAGGTAAAGGCTTATCCCCCCCCCCCCCCCAACTCCTGTATAAATCAGAACTGTAAGGTAAAGGTTAATACCCCACACCCAACCACCCCCCAACTCCTGTATAAATCAGAACTGTAAGGTAAAGGCTTATCCCCCCTCCCCCTCCAACTCCTGTATAACCCAGAACTGTAAGGTAAAGGCTTATACCCCACCCCCACCCTATCAACCAGCACTGTAAGTTAAAGGCTAATTTCACAAACACATCCCCACCCCCAACTCCTGTATAAATCAGAACTGTAAGGTAAAGGTTAATACCCCACACCCACCCACTCACGTATAAACCGGAACTGTAAGGCAAAGGCTAATACCCCACCCCACCCACAGCTCCTGTATCAACCAGAAATGTAAGGTAAAGGCTAATACTCTCACCCCCCAATCCCTGTATAAAACAGAACTGTAAGGTAAAGGCTTATACCCCACCCCCACCCTATCAACCAGCACTGTAAGTTAAAGGCTAATACCCCTCTCCCACTCCTGTATAAACCAGACCTGTAAGGTAAAGGTTAATTCCCCACACCCACCCACATCCCCACGCCTGTATAAACCAGATCTGTAAGGTAAAGGCTAATACTCCACCCACAGCTCCTGTATCAACCAGAAATGTAAGGTAAAGGCTAATACTCCACCCACAGCTCCTGTATCAACCAGAAATGTAAGGTAAAGGCTAATACTCCACCCACAGCTCCTGTATCAACCAGAAATGTAAGGTAAAGGCTAATACTCCACCCACAGCTCCTGTATCAACCAGAACTGTAGGGTAAAGGCAAATACCCCACACCCACCCACTCACGTATAAACCGGAACTGTAAGGTAAAGGCTTATACCCCCTCCCCCTCCAACTCCTGTATAAACCAAAAACTGTAAGGCAAAGGCTAATACCCCACACCTACCCAAAACCCCACTCCTGTATAAACCGGAACTGTAAGGTAAAGGCTTATCCCCCCTCCAACTCCAACTCCTGTATAAACCAGTACTGTAAGGAAAAGGCTAACACCCCACCCCCACCCCCAGCTCCTGTGTAAACCAGGACTGTAAGGTAAAGGCTACTACCCCACACCCACCCACTCACGTATAAACCGGAACTGTAAGGTAAAGGCTTATCCCCCCCCCCCCCCCAACTCCTGTATAAATCAGAACTGTAAGGTAAAGGCTTATCCCCCCCCCCCCCCCAACTCCTGTATAAATCAGAACTGTAAGGTAAAGGTTAATACCCCACACCCAACCACCCCCCAACTCCTGTATAAATCAGAACTGTAAGGTAAAGGCTTATCCCCCCTCCCCCTCCAACTCCTGTATAACCCAGAACTGTAAGGTAAAGGCTTATACCCCACCCCCACCCTATCAACCAGCACTGTAAGTTAAAGGCTAATTTCACAAACACATCCCCACCCCCAACTCCTGTATAAATCAGAACTGTAAGGTAAAGGTTAATACCCCACACCCACCCACTCACGTATAAACCGGAACTGTAAGGCAAAGGCTAATACCCCACCCCACCCACAGCTCCTGTATCAACCAGAAATGTAAGGTAAAGGCTAATACTCTCACCCCCCAATCCCTGTATAAAACAGAACTGTAAGGTAAAGGCTTATACCCCACCCCCACCCTATCAACCAGCACTGTAAGTTAAAGGCTAATACCCCTCTCCCACTCCTGTATAAACCGGAACTGTAAGGTAAATGTTAATAACCCACCCCAACTCACGCACCCACTCCTGTATAAACCAAAACTGACAGGTAAAGGCTAATACCCCAGATAAACCAGAACTGTAAGGAAAAGGCTAGTACCCCACCCCCACCCCCAACTCCTGTATCACAGCTCCTGTGTAAACCAGGACTGTAAGGTAAAGGCTACTACCCCGCACCCACCCACTCACTCCTGTATCAACCAGAACTGTAACGTAACTGCTAATGCCCCACCCCAACCCACACTAAAGGCTAATACCCCACAACCACCCACTCACTCCTGTATCAACCAGAACTGTAGGGTAAAGGCAAATACCCCACCCCCACCCACACCCCAACTCCTGTATAAACCAGTACTGTAAGGAAAAGGCTAATACCCCTCCCCCACCCCCAACTCCTGTATCAACCAGAACTGTAAGGTAAAGTCTAATACCCCACACCCACCCACCTCCGAACTCCTGTATAAACCAGAACTGTAAGGTAAAGGCTAATACCCCGAACCCCCTCCCCCCGCTCCTGTATAAACCAGAACTGTAAGGTAAAGGCTAATACCCCACCCCCACCGGCAAACTCCTGTATAAACCAGAACTGTAAGGTAAAGGTTAATACCCCACCCCCAGCTCCGGTATAAACCAGAACTGTAGGGTAAAGACTAATACCCCAAACCCACCCACAACCCCACTCCTGTATAAACCAGAACTGTAAGGTAAAGGCTAATCCCCCACCCCAACC